CTGGTATGCAGGGCACCGAGGCCGAGCCAGGTGAGCCTGCTTCATTCTTGGCTTACTATTCTTTATGGGCCTTTTTTTTTTCTCTCTTTAAGGGACTACGAAAGTAGGACATGCTTGCTGAACAAAATACAGTACTGAAATATATAAAAGGAAAAGGAAGAGCTGGCAGTAATGTTGGTCTTCAGTTCCATGTGTATTCCTTTTGGGTGCGTTAATATAAAATGGACAAGTATACTGTCCGTCGGGATACATGGGCCTGTTGCAGCTACCGTTACTTTAGTTTAATTTTAAGAATTCTTATTTGGCCAGGCGTGGTGACGCGCGCCTGTAATCCCAGCACTTGGGAGGCTGAGGCAGGAGGATCGTTGTGAGTTCGAGACCAGGCTGGGCTACATAGTGAGTTCCAGGTCATTCTCAACTACATAGTGAGACCCTGTCTCAAACAAGCAAGCAAACAAAACCAAAGTGGTCTCTGAAAAGATTGTATCGTTGGTACATGTCCGTCAGCAGAGTCCTAAGAGTGTCTTCCGCACCTCATCTGTCTGTCATAAACATTTGTTTTTGTTAATCTATAATTTTTGTAAACTAAAAGGTGAGATTCATATCTTACATTATTATTAGCATTTCCCTGAAGGCTTTAGGAATTGATCATCTTTGTATTCACTTTTAATTTTTTTTTCTCTTCTTAAAGTCAACTTCCTACCACATGCTTTTTCTTTAACTTTTTAAAAAAGTATAGCACGCATATCAAAAAGTGGATAAATCTCAAGGATGGTAGTTAACCAGTTATCACTAAGTGAAATACCACATAACCCTCGGGAAAGAAACAGCCCGTGATCTTCTCCTTGCTGCCTTTCTCCTCAAAGGTAGTCTCTGATTTTTTTTTTTTTTTTTTTTTTATGGGGAGCGAATTCAAGACCCTGCTCTTGCAAGGCAGGCACGGTACCACTGAGCTAAATCCCTGGCCCAGTCTCCTGATTTTATTTTAATTAATTAATTAATTTATTTATTTAGATACTGGGCATTGAACTTGAGTCCTTGGGCTTGTGAGGCAGCCGGTAGAACCACTGAGCTAAATCCCCCGCCCCTGTCTCCTGATTTTTTTAATGCCACAGGCATTACCCATTTTATTTTGATTTGCAGTACTGGAGAGCAAATTCAGGGACTTGCATGTACTAGGCAACCGCCATACCGCCAAGCTGTACCTCCAGCCCAGCGTTGCCCATTTTAAACTCCACGAAATCAGTTCCTATTTTTTTGTGCCTTTCTTTTACTCAGCATCCTATTATGAGATTTGGGTTTGTGGCATGTGACACATTTTCTCATTTTCGTGCAGAATGCCACAAATTATTCATTCATCCTACTACTGAAGGACATTTAGGTTAGTCAGTTGTCTCCTGGTTTTTTGCTGTTCCAATAACGTCAAACAGTTCCCCAAAGTAACTGTACCAGTTTTACCTCAGCAGTGTGTGTGATTTCCGGTTCTTCCATTGCTTGCCAACACTTGGCGTTCTCTCAGGGTGAATTTTTAAAATCCGTTTGAGAGCATTTTGAGATGAGAGAGAAAGACAAAAGGACACGGTCATAGGAAGGCTTGTATTAAAATATTTCAGTACTGTTACCTCTTTGGGAGTTTTTTACAAGTCACTGCTGCTTCAAGAGCTTACTTCCTAGGTTGATTGGTTGGTTGGAGTACTAGGGCTGGAACCCAAGTGTCACGTACACTAAAATACTCTCTACCACTGAGATGTATTCCTACCCCCAAGAGCTTACATTTGACAGAAGTGGTGACCTGGCTTGGGTTTTACAGCTCAGATAGCTCTTGCCCTAACTTCCAACAATACCCCAAGAAATTAAATCAGGAAAATAGCTGTCAGGTAGCTGATAGGGAGAATTGTTCATTACTAAAACCTAGGTTTAAGAAGTGCACAAAGAGCCAGGCATGGTGGTCCTGGATCCTTAGTCCTAGCACTTGGGAGGCCAAGGCAGGAGGATTGCTGCGAGTTCAAAGCCAGCCTGAACTGCATAGCGAGGCTTTGTCTCAAAAACAAAAACAGGGGCCAGGGATTTAGCTCAGTGGTTCCACTGCCTGCCTTGCAAGTGCAAGGACCTGAGTTCGATCTCTGGTACCAAAACAAACAACCAAACAAAAACAAAGCATCTATATCTCTATATATAGGTAGACATATATATGCATATATATATAATGTATGTATATATACACCTAGTAGAAAGTGCACAAAGACAAGACAACTTAAATAAAATCTGAACCCCGAAACCCATTTGAGAGTACAAGATAACATACTATATATTTCTCTTTTTGTGGTGCTGAGGTTTGAACCCAGGCCATGCACATCCTAGGCGGTGCTGTACTACTGAGCTGTCCCTCCAGCCCCCATGTACTTTTCTTGAATCATTTGAGACAGGTGTCACTGTTCACCAAGAGTGAAGTGTGAAATTGAAGCCAAGAGGCAGCATAATGAATCTGTTTTCTTACTTGTACAGGAACGGGAACTTCTGTTTGTGTCTAATAGACTTAGGGTTAGGCTGTGCTTTGCCACCGTCCGCTTTTCTCCCATCTTCTGCAGGGTGTCAGGGACAGAATGTTCTGCTTGGCGGAGCCCCTCACCTTTGTCCCGTACTCCAGTGACTGTGTTTTCCATTCTCCTCACAGGGACGAAGCTGAAATGGAGTATTTGAAGATAGCTCAGGACCTGGAAATGTATGGTGTGAACTACTTTGCAATCCGGGTGTGTTGAAGCCTCCCCGAGTTCCCTGGCTAGCAAACAGATACTGGCCCAATTGGGTTACCCTTTATCCCAGGGTGGTAGAGTCTTTTGTGGTTCAGTGGTACGGAAGAAGGGGCTCATTGTCTATTTTTGGACTTCAAATGACACCATAGGTAATTAAGTGTCATTTGAGCCTTGGGGAACTTCGGCCTCCTGCTCTCAGCAGAAACCTGTTAGAATGTGGGGAGTCTAACGTTTGATTATTTCAGGCTCTGTGAGATCTAGGGAGCACCTAGAAATAACTGTCTTTCCCCGGGGTCCCTGGAGAGTAGAGCTGCTTTTATAGATTGCTGATTTGTTTGGGTGAGATTCTTGTTCTCACTATGAGGCTAATTGGTTTTCTTTTTAGACCATTAATGGTCTGCTGTCCCCAGGGAACCCATCTCTTCTGGAGAGAGGCATCTGTGTTCAGCTCGTGCCTGCCCCTTTAGCAGAGCTTTCTCCCTTGGGTGGGTTTGGGTGCTGGGTGCACTATATAGGCAGCTTTTCCCAAAGGAATGAATGGAACGTGCTAGGCATTTCATGGCTGGTAAAATGATTGGCCACAGTCGTCTACCTCTCTGATCACAGTTATGCTTTCCTTTTTAGTATTTCTTCACTTTTCACACTAAATTTGGGTAAACTGAAACATTTTCAACATTCTGGAATAACTTTCTATTTAGTTTATTAGTTTCCTATGTGGAGATACAGTGGTACCTTGGTTGATGAACTTTATTTTTGTTACAATTGTGGGGAAGATGGCTGTGTTCTGTTTGTGTGGGGAAGGTGGACGTGGTCTTATTTGTCACCCGATGCGGAATTTATGAATGGAAGCAGAATTTTGCCGGAAAGCTTTTGTTTGCAAACTGAATTGTTTACAAACAGAAGCATTTGGGAGCCAAGGCATTACTATATTTATGGGTTACTTTGCAAAAAAATAAGGTACAGTGAAATGTTATATTATTTCATATAGCAAACAAGTTCCTAAAAGATGTTCCTTAATAATGCAAAAAGTTGTTTTTAGAAATTTCACAATTGTTTTGTTTTGTTAAGGTCAGGCTGATTTAACACATTTCTGTGTCAGCCTAATTCCTCTTGCCTCATATGCCCACTGCCCAGATTCTAGAAAATTACAGTTTTATAATCCTCAAAAAACCAAAAAGCAGGCTGGGGATTTAGCTTAGTGGTACCACCTCTGGCCTCACAAACACAAGGTCCTGAATTCAATCCCTGGTACGAAACAAAACCAAACCAGTAAGCCAGTTTCTCAGTAAGGAATATTCTGTGTCAGTCAGACCAACATATACTATTTGTGTGTTTCTTATATTGAACAATAGCCAAAGTTAAAGATTATTTTAGTGGCTTTTGTGTTAGAGGTTATAGAATTCTACCATTAACTAAGAAAAATATATACTTAAAACAAATTTTTTGGGGGGGTACCAGGGATCAAACTCTGGACCTTGCACTTGTGAGGCAGGCACTGTGCCACTGAGCTAAATCCCTGACCCTTTAAATTTAAATTTTTAACTGATATATAGAAACATACAAATTCTACATATTGGACCAGGGATTTAGCTCAGTTGCGCTATACCTACCTCACAAGCGCAAAGTCCTGAGTTTGATCCCGGTACCAAAAAAAAAATTTTTTTTCTGTATATTAATTAGGTACCACGTGATTAAAGCAATTTAAAAGGGAATGCGTCTGCCCCTCTTTAATCTCTAGAAATATCAGGCTTGCAATGATGGAAGGCAGAAGGGAGAATCCCTCTTTATTCTAAATTTAAACTGAATAGAAACATAACGAAATACCTTGTTTTCTAAAATGCGGTACAAGAATTCAAAGCCTAATACTGTAGTTTTAAACACTTTGCGGACAAGCAGAAGACTCTCATGGCTTGGTGACAGTGCCTGACTTCAGGTGTTAGAAGGTGTAAAGAGATTGATCTTGGAGTGCTTGCTTCTCCATCTGACACCTGCTGTTAGATTATCTGGCACTTCTTGTCACAGTCCAAGCACCTTTTCTCTTTGCAGATCTGTTTTCCTACCCTTGAGTCTCGTTTCAATTTCCTTGTTGTCAGCAAGGGGTTAGGAGTTGTGATGTCCTCATGTGGGGAATTTCCCTCCACCATAAAACAAAGGCCTGGACTATGGAGCTGGCAGATGGGCCTGTCAGCGAGGGTGGGGCCAACTCGTCCATGGCTGCTTTGGTGATGTGCGGTCCAGGGCCCTTGGCCCTGACTGCTGGCCAGACCCACTGTCAGAGGTGTTGCATATACTCAGGCTGTCAGTGTTTTGAAAAGCTTTACTGAGGTGCAAATTGTACATAATTCATTTGGGTATATTTTTCTAATATTTAATTATTAAACATTTCAAACATACAGAAAAACTAAAAGAATATTTCAGTGAATGCCTACATTCCCAGATGCTACAGTAAACATTTTACCATATTGAAGTATAATATACAGAATAATGCACTGTAACCTAAACCTGAGGCCATCTAGTCCCAGCACTTAAAATTTTCTTTCTAGCAATCCAACAATCTTTTTTTTTTGGCTTTTCTTTTCCTCTTTTTTTTTTTTTTCTTTTTTAGATGTTGGGGAACAAACCCAGGGCCTTCTGCATACTAGGCAAGTGCTTTACCCCTAAACAACACCGCCAGCATCCAACAACTTTTCTTTTAACATAAGAAATGCTTAAACCTACAGGTTGTATTTGTTGTTGTTGTTACGGGGCATTGAATTTAGGGCCTTGTGCCTTGGGATTGAATTTAGGGCCTTGTGCTTGCAAGGCAGGTGTGGTGCCACTGAGCTAAATCGCTGGCCCTTAAACCTATAGGTTTTTTTTGTTTGTTTGTTTTTTAACCTACAGGTTTTAACTCTACATCTATGTTATCCTAGTTATTTAATTAGAAGTAAAACACTTAGATTATTCTTCCTTTAGCCACTGAGCCAGTGACGAAAGCCCCCAGTGACCCTTGCAGGTGACCCACGTTCCAAGGATGGTGCAGTTTTGCCTCTGCCTGTCCCACTTCTGGAAGCTAGAAGCCTCCTGCGTCACAAGACAGCTATGATTTCTGTGGGGACCTGTTGAAACTTGTCACATGTAACAGTGTGAGCCAGGTTCTTTGGAAGGTTGAACAAAATCTCCAGCTGAAGCTGACAGCGCCTGCTCTTTATTGACTCTGCAGAATAAAAAGGGCACAGAGCTGCTGCTTGGAGTGGATGCTCTGGGACTGCACATCTATGACCCCGAGAACAGGCTGACCCCCAAGATCTCCTTCCCGTGGAATGAAATCCGAAACATTTCATACAGTGACAAGGAGGTAGGATATGTCTGTACTTGCAGATGCCACTGGTGGGCCCGTGGCCCAGCAAAAGATCTTTCCCATCTCTCTCCCTTGCCAGGCCCATTTCTCATTATCTGTAAAAGTCCCTTACTCTCCAGGCTTTGAGATTTTGGTTGTTGATTTTTAAAATATTTACAGAACAGTATTGGCATCTTTTTTTCAAAGGGCATTATGAGGCCCCACTATTGACTAACAAAAAACTGGGAGGCTTATCTTGTCAGAGGTAAACCCTGAAGAAAAATAAAAAAGAAAAGAACATTTTTTTGTTGTTGTTTTGTTTTCTTGAGACAGGGTCTCACTATGTAGTTGAGAGTGACCTGGAACTCACTATGCAGCCCAGGTTGATCTCGAACTCACAGCGATCCTCCTGCCTCAGCCTTCCGAGTGCTGGGATTACAGGCATGCGCCACCACGCCTGGCCAAGAAGAACATTTTCTTATTACTTGACTTTTTATTTTTGGAGATAAATTCTCTTTATATTTTACTCGTGGTCTATAGTGAGCCCTCTCTTAGTGTCCAGAGCTTGACCCATGTGGAAAAACACGCAGGTATGCCCGCAAATATGTGTGTCTTTTTCAGCAATAATAACGATATCACACTAACATACAAGTATTTAAGGATAATTAAACTTGAATAACTGGGGTGAGCACTCATAGAATTCTCATATTTCTTTGTATAAGATGGCTCTTCCCAAATGCCACAGTCCTAGGTTTACGTGTTTACTTATTTATTTATTTATTTTCTAATGGTGCCGAGCCTTGTGCGTGCTAGATAAGCGCTGTACCACTGAGCCATACCCTAGCCCTTCCTCATTCATTTGAAAGGAATTGCTGGGCATCTGCTCTGTGCTAGGTTTCACAGGGTCAACAAAGATGGAGGAAAACCTAATCCCAGCCTTCTAGGAAGTTATCGTTGAGTAATGGTTTGACTGCTGTGGTGAGTGAGCGCAGTGGGAAAGGACGATCATGAAGACAAGGAAGAGGAGGAAAAGGAGGAAGGGGAGGGGAGAGAGAGAATACTTCCACTTACAAGCACTTTTGCACTTTATTTAATCCTGGTAAGAATCCTACTGCAAAGGCGCAGGGGCTGTGTTTCTAGTATCTGTGTTACAGCAGGAAGCAGAGATGCAGAGGAATCCAGAGCCTTGGATTTGATGAATGAAGTAGCAGGGGCTGGGACCCGAGGGTGGCTGATGGATGCCACAGCCCCTGCTTTTCTGGGCAGAGCAGAGGCTGGATCCTGAGAACACAAGGCGATAGGCCCGGGTGGGGGGTGGGCAGATCTAGCCTGTGCTCGGTGCCTTACTGTGTCACATTCAAGGCACAGAGTGCAGCGTGAATAGCGATGCTAGCTTCTGTTGTTGCCTGCAGAGCCCAAAGCCCGAAGCATATTTTCTATTTTCTCTTTCATCGTAGAAACTCAAGGAAAGGAACACCAGGCCCTGGTTTCCAGTCCATGAATAGGATCTATGCAGTCGTGCTTGATGAAGGCAATTGAGCTTCTTAATTCCAAACATTCTGACTTTGAAGTTTTTAAAGTAGGTAGCTCGGGAGATGAGTATTAGGTAGTTCTTTTTTGGTACCAGGGATCGAACTCGGGTCCTTGTGCTTGGTGGCGGAACCACTGAGCTAAATCGCCGGTCCCAGACAGTTCTTTTTATAAAGTACCTAAATTGGAAAGCTATAGATGCGGTGCAGTGTGGAGTTCTTCGTCTCCCAATTTCATAAGTCTTTTTACTGCACAACACACATTTGTGCAATAAAGCTCCCTAAACACTCATTTTTCAGAGAATCCAAGGATTAAAGTCTCCCCTAGTATGGCCCCACACAACAAACTCTATAATCTGCCCTCTCCAGGGGCGAGGTACCATCATCCTCCCATCATGGCCATAATTCAGGTGATAAGCAGGCCTCCAACTGCCTTGGCATAATAGGAGGAAGTCTTGGTAGTTATGCCAGACAGCTAGGCTGTCAAAGCAGAAGCGTTAGTTTATTTTAAGTCCTCCATTGATTCTTTGTGTATGCCCTGGCATAGCGCGGAGCCTGTGGTTTCCCCACTACTTGTGGTTTCCCACTGACAGCTCTGGAGTTTGACAGCAAGTCCAGAAATAAGCTCAGGGAATTCATAAATAGCAGCCTACACAAGGGCGATACTGCTTCTATGTTAACTTAGCCAAAAGCTGAACAAAGAATCACATTCTGTCCTCAGTGTGCCAATGCCTTGTTGAACAATATGACGAGTTATGTGTATCTGCTAAGCCAATCTTTTTGTTTGTTTTGATATTTGGGGTTTTATTGGGGGGAGGTTGTGGTGCTGGGGATCAAACTCAGGGATTCATGCATGCTAGATACGTGCCCTTCTACTGAGCTATCCCCAGTCCAGTAATCCCCACCTTTTTTTTCAGTTTTGGGGGTGGCTAAGCAAGACTTTCTTAGGAATGGGTATGCTCCCCTCCCTAGGATAGGGGATTTAATCTGGGGCCTTTGCACTGAACTGCATCTCTAGCCCTTTTATTTTTTCATTTTTGAGAGAGGGTCCTGCTAAGTTGCTAAATTGCCTGGGCTAGGGTCGAACTTGGAATCCTCCTGCCTCAGCCTCCCAGAGTACTGACATTACAGGCATGCACTACCACACCCAGTTTCGATAGGCTTCTCCCAATTTTTCTTTATTATCATATGTTTGCAACACATCATAATTACATTCATTTTGGGGAATTGGCATGTGCATAAAGAATATCTTGATCATTTCCACATTCCCCAATACCCTGATCCCCTTTCCTATCACCAACATGGTTTTGTTTGTTTTGTTTTTTTGAGGCAGGGTCTCCCTTTGTAGTTCAGGCTGGTCCTGAACTCACTATGTAGCCCAGGCTGGCCTCAAACTCACAGTGATCCTGTTGCCACGACCTCCCAAGTGCTGGGGTTACAGGCGAGCACCACCACGCCTGGCTACCAACATGTATTATTTAAGTGTGCCTTTGGACTCTCGGATGTGTCTGGGCCCTCGGTAGTGGTTGAGAGTGGTGATCACATTTGTTCTCTCCAGCTAGGAGCCTGGCCCTGGTTTCTCCTAAGTTCCTATCCTGTCTTCATTATTCATTTTTCTCTACACTTTGAGTTCAGGAACTATGTTTTTCTGTTCTACACAATCCATTTTTATTCATGCTATTAATAGCTTTTATCGAATTATCCTTCATTTAGAGGCCATAGCCACTGCCTGTATCCTGTCATATTAAATCTAAACCCCTGTCTTTTACTCCTCACCATCACCCCCAAAGCCCACCCCTGCCTCCATCCCAGTCTAAGCCCGCTGTATCATTAACTCCAAAAACTCAATAACTCTCCCCACCCCTTCCCTGTCTCTACCCCTGTCTCTACTGTATTGCTACTGCTTGCCCAATCTAGAATGCCCTCCTGCCTTGTAGCTGCTCTGTCATGGTCTTCCCCACCCCACTCTTGTTTTTGCAGTACTGGGGATGGAACCTAAGACCGCGCATGTGAGCAAGCCCTTCACCACCGATCTGCACTCCCGTCCCTTGTCGTATTCATCTAACACCAGCTCTAGTCCCCTCCTGCACGAGCTGGGTCTACTCCAAGCATTTGTGATGGATGTTTATGATGTGTACCACCCATAAGACAGTGATGTATTGTGTCATTTTGTGAGTAATCAACTGCTGTTAGTCTAGTTTCTGTGAGGTTCTGAGCGTCCTAAAGGCAGGAGCTGTGCCTTCTTAGACTGTGTGGCCCTCCACTGTCAGCCTCAGGGTGGACTCATCCTAGGTTCTAATTTAAGGTCAGCACACATCCCTTCCTCGCAGCTACCCAAGACGGTTTAGGACCCTGAGCCTCCAAAGCCTCAGACCTCGTACCCTTGACATTCCTAATTTACAGACTTCGTGCCTGGGCACCAGGAAGCCAGGGCAAGGCAGCCTCATGCTAGACTGTGCTCCCTGTGGTTGCTGCCTTTGTGGAATTTCCTCACTGGTGGTAGCAATGTAGGTTGTCACGGTGAAACTGTTTTCTACTTTCTTCTTTCAGTTTACTATTAAACCACTGGATAAGAAAATTGATGTCTTCAAATTTAACTCCTCAAAGCTTCGAGTTAATAAGCTGGTAAGTTGAGATCCTGGGTTTCATTACTGATAACTGTTGCGTTTCTGAAAAGTTGAGTGCTGCTTTTTAAAGAATACCAGAGTGACATGTTTCTGTTTTTTCTTTTCTTATAGTATGGGGGATTGAACCCAGGCCTTGCACATGATAGTCATGTGCTCTACCACTGGGCCTCACTTCGAGCCCTAGTCATCTATCTTTCTATCTATCTGGTTTTTTACCTTTTTCTTTTTGGTTTTTTGAGACAGGGTCTCACCATGTAGTTGAGACTGACCTGGAACTCACTATGCAGCCCAGGGTGGTCTCGAACTCACAGCGATCCTCCTGCCTCAGCCTCCTGAGTGCTGGGATTACAGGTGTACACCACCACACCCGGCATTGTTTTTCTTTTTTAAGTTTTGGTGCTAAAGACTGAACCCAGGGCCTTTAGCTCTACCACTGAGCTAAATCCCACCCTTTGTCTATTTGTGCTGTGGATTGAACTGAGGACGTTCACATTAAGCTATATCCGCACCCCGTTGTATTTTTTTATTTTGAGACTTGGTCTTGCTAAACCACTAAGTTGCCCAGGCTGGCTCCAAGTTGTGATCCTGTTGCTTTGGCTTCCCAGGGTGCTGGGATTATAGATGTGCACAAGGCTAGACTCAGATTTACCCTTCTGCCTCTGTCTCTCAGGTAGCTAGGATTGTAGGCTATAGAATGACAGCTCACTTGGTACAGTTTTTTGTTTGTTTTTTTTAGCTTAAGCTGTAGAGTCAAACCTAAATTTTTTTCCCCATACTGAAGATTGAACCCAGGCCTCATGCATACCAAGCAGATATTCTACCACTGAGCTACACTTCCAGCCCTCTTTGTCATATTAATTTACATTTTTATGATTACCAATGAAATTGAACATCCTTTTTAAATTTTTCTATTGGTGATTAAATCCAGGGTCTCACACTGAGCTATGTTCCCAGGCTTTATTTTTTTATTATTATTTTTTTTTTGGTATGGGGCTCGAACTCAGGACCTTGCACTTGCAAGGCAGGCACAGTGCCACTGAGGTAAGTCCCCAGTCCTTAGGCTTTTTTTTTTTTTTTTTTTTTTTTTTTTT